GAATCCTAAACCTGAAACCCCGGAGGGGGCCTGGGACAGGGTCCGACGCCTCCAGACGGCCATACCCGAGCTAGGCACATGGTAGATCCCCGCAGACGCCAGGACGACAAGCCACACCTGGCAAGCAACCTGCGTACAGCCATTCAGCCAGGCACTCTGGCACCAAGGCTGCAGACAGCTGTTTGTTTCCCCAGCCACCAGAGCAAAGACAACAGGTGCGACCGAGGCGCATGGCAGAAGAGATGTGCCGCCGCGCATGGTTAGACAGTACACCTGCGCGACCACGGGTACGGAACTAAGCATCACCGAGTGGTTCGCAGCGTGGCTGCGCCAGAGCCGCAGAAGAACACTAGCTGGTGGCGGCACGATTTGGAGCCGAGGCGCGAGCCGTGTCAGCTGAGCAAGACCAGAACACGGCGACAGCGGAGCGAGGCCGGGCGGTCGCGGAGCCAGCACCAGTCACACGCACCGACCCCGAGAGCGATCCGGAGCGAGCTGCAGCTTGGGGAAGGCAGCGGTATCTCACTGCCAGCTTGGCGGATGTGGCATCCTGGTGGCACGCTGCACTTCATGAAGGACAACCATGGGCCATCCGGCAGGCGAAGTGCATCCAGTATTTCTTGCGGAGATGAGACACCAGTGGCTGGACGCGCCCGCGGACCACCACCCGCAGGGATCCGAGCAGGCCAGACTGCCGTGGATGCGCCTGGCCAGCGACATATGCCGTGAGGCATGGCGTACAGGACGGCGAGGTCGGCGGGAAAATGGGCAAGGCGCACGTTACCGACCAGCGCAGGCGGGCGCAGCAGCACCGCTTAGCGAAAGAGTTCCTGCGAGGAGGGCGCCCTGGACTCCGAGCACGAAGCAGAACAAGATCCTCTGATGTGCGGCGACACGCGGCAGCAAGTGCACCACCTGGTGGAGATAGTGGTGTGCAACATTCCCATGCCAGCAGCTCGGCAAGAACGGCGGGCCTGGAAACCGAAGGAGGCCGACCAGAAGCTGGAGAAGTCCAACCTGGAGATGCAGAGGACCCAGCAGATGCTGGGGAGCCTGAAGCGAATTTGCACGCGGCGGTGAGGAGCGCACGGCGGGCCAAGGTCCCGGGCATCATCACTGCAGCAGTAGCCAGCTCAGCCACGGCCGCCAGGGGTGACGGAAGAGCAGGGCGGGCAGATCTGCGAGGCCAAGCCGCCGAAACGGAGTCGGTGGGAGCCGCCAGCCGCCGTGGAATCCAAAGGTGGGTGGACCGTGGCGGCAGGCGCGCCAGTGCAGGGGCTTGGCGAGCAGCCAAAGCAGGCCAAGCGAGCCAGACGTGAGGGCGACCGAGCCAAGCGAGCCGGACGTGAGGGCGACCGAGCGGCCTGGCGCGGCGGCATCAACGCCCTGGTGGACGCAGCGGCAGCCAGAGGGCACAGGCAGCCAGCCCCAGCAGCGAGCCCGCGAAGAAGGACAACGCGGAGAAGAAGAAGGTATCCAGACGGCACAAAGGAGTGGCGCGACAGGGGCGGCCTTCTGAGAAGGCAGGGAAGCTTCTCACAAGACAGGGGGCATCATGGAAGCCACTCGCGGTTTTAAGAAGCAGTCTGAAAAGCCCCCAGGCCCCTCGAAGAGAGAAGACCACTCCGCCTTCTAAGAACTACCCCGGCTTCTTAGAGGCCCACCCCCCTCTTTGTGCCCTCCTGCCTCGCGAGCAGCCGGACAGCAGAGGCGCTGGGCGAGCGCGGGCGTTGGAAGCCCGCGCGGACGACAAGCCAGCCCGGGGGGCGGACGGGCCGCCCGCGGGCAGCGCGGGGGCCGACAGCCGGCCGCGCGTCGCGCGCTGGCGCAGCGTGGAGCGCCCCGGTGACGAGCGGAGCACGCGGGTGGCGCGTGGAGCGTGCGTGTGGCCGCGCGCTCGCGCAGCATGGAGCGCGGAGCGCGCGTGTGGCGCAGCGTGGAGCGCAGCGTGGCGCGGCACACGCGCGCCCCCGCCCCCTCCCCACCCGAGGGGGCGTCCCCAAGAGACGTTCCAGCTTCCTTCTGACTTCTCGCCTCCCTCACTCCTCCTTCTCCCCCTCCTCCGTCATTTCTCCTTTCATACATAGCTCCTCCCTCTCGCACACCGATACGCGTCGACAAGGCGGGCCGGGCGTTTCGCTTGAGACATGCTCACGATGTATGATCATCAAGCTTGAAATTTGCAAGAGCTTCAAGGATGGAGGGCAGGACGTTTTCAAAATGTGCATATCGCCGTAGCGCCACGCACATTCGTTTCAAAAACCTTGCAACAGTTCACGTATGGAGAGCGGCTCCTTTTCAAAATGTGGTTCTCGCTTCAGTGTCGTGCACATTCGTGTGAAGAGTTGAAACAGTTTCACGGGTCCTAAGTCTGACGTCCCAGAAATGGTGTGTTTAACACGGTGTAGGACTGTCAGAGCGCAATTGTAACATTCATGTGCGGTGTTGAAGTTGAAGTCCCAAGAACGGTGGTATGGCACGGTTCGGGATCGTCAGAACGCAACAGTGACGTTCATTCGCGGCGTTATAGTTCCAGTAATGGTGTGTTGGCACGGTTCAGGGTCTTCAAACAGTTGTTTTCCAACGGGGCTTTTCCTTCAGTGAGAATGAATCCTTGTAGGGATTTATGATGAGGGAACTAGGAGGGAGGGTGTGATGCAACATCTTTGATGGGTCTTGGGTGTACACTGGTCCTCCTCCTCCTCCTCCTCCTCCTCCTCCTCTTCCTCCTCCATTTCTTTTCCTTACAGTTGTGAATAATCCCCTCCCGGTCGCACCCCCAGACGTGTTGGTAGGGCGGGCCAGGCGTTTCGCTTGATGTTTTCCTTCACCGTCTGTGATCCTGAAGGTTGAGATTCGCAATAGCTTAGAGCATGAAATGGGCTTCGGGCATTGAGAACATGGGATTATCGTCTCAGCGCCGCGCACATTCGTATCCAAAGTTTGCAACAGGTTCAAGCATGGAGGGCGGGCCCTTTTTCAAAATGTGGCTCTCGCCTTAGCGCCGCACACATTCGTTTTGAAAGTTCGCTACAGCTTGAATTATGGAGGTCGGGCTATTTCCGAAATGCGAATATGGCTTTAGCGCCGCGTGTTTGCAGCATGTTCACGGATGCGGGGCGGGTTCTTGCCACCGTGTGTTTATCGTTTCAGTGCCGCGCACATTCGTCAAAAAGTCTGCAATAGCTTCACGGATGGAAGGTGGGTCTTTTGAAAAAAGTGGTTGTCGCTGTGGCGCCGCGCATATGTGTTTTGAATCGTTGCGGCAGTTTCAAGGATAGGGGGTGTGTCGTTTTCAAACTGCGGTTCTGGCATCAACGCCGCGAGCATTCGTTTTGAATGTTGGCAGCCTTGTTATTCATGGATGGCGGGTCCTTTTCTAAAACGTAGCTCTCGCCGTAGTGCCGCTCACATTTTAAAAGTTTGCAACCGCTTGAAGGAAGCAGGGCGGGTCTTTGTCAAAATGCGGTTTTCGCTTTAGCTCTACGCACATTCGTCCTAAAAGTTCTTTGCAGCTTTAACGATTGAGGGGGGCTCCTTTTCAAAATGCGGTTCTCGCCGAAGCGCCGCGCACATTCGTTTCGGCTGTGCGCAACACTTGCAGGGATGCGTATGGGTGAAGTCGCGTTCTGGCCGATGCACCGGCGATGCGTCGTCGAGACGTGGGCGATGCATCGGCGACGTCGACGTGAAGCAAATCGAGCCCCACACCTGGCCGCTTCGCCGATATTTTGGCGATGCGGCGCGATCCCCCGACCCCATCTACTCCGACCCCATATAGGAGGCCTCTAAGCGTGCACACGAATTGTCGTACAGTCTGGCCGAGGTGTCAGGTCGAGGTCCGTTCGGGAAGGGTAGCCTGGTGTTCTTCGCGCTTGCTGGATGTTCCTCCGCACCCTGGGGAGGGTACCCTTGGATGTTCTGTTCGTTTTTGGCTGGCGGAGGGTCTCACGCTCTCGAGGGATGGTATGCTGTCGACCACGCGTAATAGTGACCCTTCGCCGGAGTGACCTTTGGTGCGGGCCCATTGGGGCCCCCCGACCTCCGAACGAGAGGCGGCAGCGCCTTGCGCGCTTGTTTTTGGCACTCCCGCGGCCCCCAAAAGCCGCGCGCCAAAGGCCACTCCTATCCAGGGTCGCTCTCGCGTGTAGCCGTTTTTTCACCGTGTCCGAACAAGTGTCTCTTGAAAATGGAAGCGGCAAAAAAAAAGCGGCGACCCGAAACGGCAACAAAAAAGGCTCCAGGATGGGAAACGGAGCCGGAACCGGTAAGAAAACAGCGACGGAACCGGTAAAAAAAGCGGCGTCGGAACCGGCAGAAAAAACGGCTGAACGGAACCAGTGCAAAGCGGCCTTGTCGTCTCCAGGGCTTGGCTGGCACAGGTCCGGCTGTAGGCTCGGAGAGCATGCACTGCGCGAGAGTTCGTGGCACGAGGCTGGCAACGCGGGCCGGGGGGCCGCGTTCGCGTGCGGGTGGCTGGGCGCGCGTGCAGCGGGGGCCCATGCGAAGAAACACCCTGCTCGCCTCCAGGGTGCCCTGAGTTTCGATGCTTCTGCGATAAAAAGCGTGACGTGCCCACACCAAAGATCCACGGGCGTCCTGGGGTCTCAGGGTGGGGTTTCGTGTGGAAGGCTTCTTGTGGACTGGCCTCCACTGTGCGTCTTCTGTGGGCTCCTTGTTCGCTCCCTCCTCCCGAGAGGGGCCCCTTGTTGGAGGCCTAACAATGGACACCAACACCAAACAGGGGGTTGCCTCCACCAGGGGAAGATGATCCTAGATTTGGGTGCTGGTGTTGATATCTCGGCCATCTGGGCAGCACGAATATGACAACTGTCACCGAAGCCAGGATCGTCTGCCCTCGGTGGAGGCACACCGCCGCCATTGGTGCCCGTGTCAACCTCTAGGCCTTCGACTCTTGGCTGGTTGCTGCATTCAATGTTTACTTCAGGCCCATCCCGCCACTATGCCTGTGGGTCGTGCACATGAGGCCCCTGGGATGCATTGTGTGCCTTTTTGAGTGTGTGAAGGGTCTTATGCCGCAAGGGTGCCACATCTTACAGAAGCGCGGACCGGCATATAGGGTTCAGTAGCCGTTTTGGCTCAGGCAGCGGTCGTGGCTCAGCGCGCGGCTCGGTGCGAGTTCCCGCGCCAGCCCGGTGTGCTTGCCCAGGGCGCCCACACCACATGTCGGTCGTGCAGGCCACATCGAACAAGGGCGTCGTCTTTGACTATGATACAGTGGTTGACGGCGGTGCTGCATGGTCGGACGCGGACTACAAGCTGACGAACATCCCACCTCACCTCGTGGGAGGCGCGCTCGTCAGGACGCAGCACGGGAAGATCCTTGAAGGCACCATCGTCACGCTGACTGCAGGCGATGCTGGTTCCTGCCGAGTTTATGTGTCAGTGGAGTCGGAGGGCCCAAGGAAAAAAGACTGTGCCGCCGCCAAGGGTCGCGATGGGGGGCTGCTGACGAGGCTGGCCGAGGCACCGATATGGTCCGGCGAGGAAGCTTCACCCAGTTGGTGCGGAGAGGACTCCGTCATGGCCACCTTCAGCGCCCCCCTGATGGCGGGCGGGTCCCTGACCCTCCCCGAGATCGTGGAGAGCGGGGCGGTAATCCTCATCGTGGCCGTGCCCATCTTCGTCAAGAGCTTCAGCGTCTCCATGACCTCCACTGCCGAGGGCCAGGTCTATCGGGCGGTCCCCGTCGAGGAGAAGCAAGAACGGCACAAGCATGAGCTTGTGGCGCTCCGCGCGGACTTCCTGGATCTGCGCCGGGCCCCCCTCCCTGGCGCGCGGAGCGCGCAGGGGGCGGCGCCGGAGGCGCCGCCAGCGGGGCCCAGCGCCGATCCAAGAAATCCGCGCGGAGCGCCAAAGGTTTATATGTTTCTGGCGTTGTTTCTTCTTCTGCCGTCGAGGAGGGGGTCACGGCCTGGCAGGACCGCGAACACAGGCTCACGGGCGTGCCAGGGTGCCTCCTGGGCGGCACGCTGTTCCAGGGGCCCAAGGCCTTGCCCGACGGCACCGCGCTGGCCGTGTGGCCGAGCACGCGGGCGCGCGTGTACGCGCTGCTGGAGAAGGCGGGTAGCGGCGGCCTGGACGAGAGCATCCTTCGGCAGCAAGTCATGGCAGCCTGGTATGCCCTCTCGATTCCGTTTCTGGCGTCGATGAGCTTCTGGGAGTCGATAAGACAGCGCCGATTGAGCGTCGCTGTCAGCGTCGATGAGCGCCGATTTAGCGTCATATGGCGTCGATTGGCGTCGACCAGCGTCGAATCGCAGGAGCCGACGAGATGGTATGGGAGTCTAGGCGTCCTAGATGGGGTCGGAGTAGATGGGGTCGGAGGATCGCGCCTCATCGACGATGCATCGACGATACGGCTCGATGCGGAGCCCGATTTTCTCCACGCCGACGGCGCCGATAGATCGGCGACGTCGACGATGCATCGCCTGCGCATCGCCAGTGCATCGCGATGCATCGGCGATGCGGCGCAATCCTCCGACCCTGTCTGCTCCGACCCCATCTGCGAGGCCTCCCAGGGAGGCCTCCCGTGAGTTGCCACCGGAGCATCCCCGCCAAGGGCTGGCGGCCGGAGCCGGGGGCCCCACGCTGGCACGACACGGCGACCTTGGCCATGCGCAGCCCTCAGCTGCCCGGGTGCGGCCGGGCCGACGCGTGCCAGATCGCGGTCGGCTCGGGGAGGGCGGCCACACAGGGCTCGTTTCGATTCCCCCGAGTCGATTCGATTCGACTTGGACGGCTCCCGATGCCGATATTCGATTCGACTTCGGACTCCGATCTGGGCTCCGATGTCTCACTGGAGGCCTACTAGCCTGCCGACGTCCGCCGATTCGACTTTCCCCGACTCGGCTGCCGATTTCCGCCGATCCGATGTATGTCGATCGCCGATCCGATGTATCGATTCTGGGCTCTCCTGACCCACGGTGTTCTTCTTGCTCGTCGCATGCTCTTGTGCATCCTGGGGAAGGGTACCCTCGGTGATCTTGTGGTTTGGGGTGCTGTGACCGGCGGAGGGCCTCGTGCTCTTGAAGGATGTTCCTCCTGTCCTCGGCCCGGCTGTACGCCCGTGCTGAAGCGCAGCACGCACCGTGCCCACCGTGTCAACGCGCTGCGTGGTGGCTCGGCACGTGTTGGCCCACGTTGTGGCGAACGTATCGCGCCGGGCCAGTGCTTTCAGCTGACGCGCTGAGCTCCGCGTCAGCGCGCTGCCCAGACCCCCGACGTCATGATTGTTTCGTGACGTCGACCCGCCGAGGTCTGGACCCACTCCCCGGGACCAGGTTCTCATCCTGAGTCGTGTTGGGGGTCCCGAGGCCCGGCGAGGGCATCCAGGGGCCGAAGATAGCCGGAAGTTGTCCGTCATGATTTGGGCATGACTCGAGCGGTTTTTGGACGGTCCCGAGAGGCCCGGTGAGGGCCTCCAGAGGCCGAAAATAGCGAGAAGCCTTCCGCCAGGATTTTGTCATGGCTCGAGAGGGGAGGAGGAGGAGGAGGAGGAGGAGGAGGAGGAGGAGGAGGAGGAGGAGGAGGAGGAGGAGGAGGAGGAGGAGGAGGAGAGGAGGAGGAGGAGGAGGAGGAGGAGGAGGAGGAGGAGGAGGAGGAGGGGGGGCAGCTGAGGTACAGCCGCCCCTGTGGCGCGGGCTGCGGGCTCTGCCTGCCGCCCACGCGGGGCGCCGAGGCCACCCTGTGCGTGGTCGTCGTGCCCGAGGCGGCGCCCCCGGTCGCCGCCCTCGAGGTCAGCGCGCTGGTGCCCGGCGGGCCGCGCGTCGAGGCCCTGGACTTCGCGGCCCTGGAGGAGTCTCGAGCAGAGGCGAAGCGTCCCGGCGTTCCGTGGCAGCGTTTTTCCCCGCGCGCTGGAAGCATATGATCCAGGTGTTCGCTCCGTGATCCGAAGGCTGCGGAAGGTCATGTAGAGCAGACGCGGAAAAAAAACAAACAACAAAAACAAACAAAACAAAAAAAAAAAAAAAAAAAAAAAAAAAAAAAAAAAAAAAAAAAAAAAAAAAAAAAAAAAAAAAAAAAAAAAAAAAAAAAAAAAAAAAAAAAAATGTCCTGGCGTGCCGACTTGCCCAGAGGTCCAGCGCATGGAAAAAAAGTCACGACGGAGGTTCGTCACCACTTTCGGCCTCCAGGGGCCCTTACCGGGCCTCGGGACCGTCAAAAAACGACTCAGGATGAAAAACTGGTCCTGGGGAATGGGTCGAGTCTTCCAGGGACCCCGTGTTGAGAAAAACACGACATCGGATCTCAGGGTATATGCCCACCAGAGAGTGTTCTAAGAGCCTCGTGTGGTCCGCACGACATGTTCCTGGAACACTTCTGGCTGAGATCGTGTTGGTTTCATACATCGAGTTCATGTTCTGAGAACCGTGCTTCTGTTTTAAAACATCTTGGAACACTTCGTGGCAGGCTTGTAGGAATGACAGGACGGTCGGTCCCCCCGTCGGCGCCTCCGGCGCCGCACTTGGCGCGCTCCGCGCATCAGGGAGGGGGGCCCAGCGCAGATCCAAGAAATCCGCTCGGAGCGCCAAAAGTTCATGCTTGTGCCGCTTCTTCTGCTTCTAGAGGAGGGCGTGTCGGCCTGGAGGGACGAGGGCCACCGGCTTACGCAGGTGCCAGATTGGATGAAGGGCGCCACGCTCGTGCGCGGGGCGCACTCGGGGCCTCCGGCCGGCGCGCTGTTCTCGGTGCGTTCCGCGGCGCCCAGCGTGGTGTACGCCATGGTGGAGGGCGAGCTGATGAACCGGCCTGGGCGCAGCGGGGGCCTGCTGCCCGATGCGCTGCTGTCTGACGGCTGGGAGCGGCGGGACCAGGTCCGACCCTTGGTGGGCCCCGGAAACGACAGGGCAGCGTTTTGGTTATCGTTCTTGTGTTCTGCCGTTCTTGTTGCTGCTTCTGGCGCAGCGCTTCCCCGGCCCCGTCGCCGTTCGGTTGTTCTGGCTGCGGCTCCAGTTCCAGTCCCAGAGCAGTTCCTGCTTTTGTCTCCAGGATCCGTTCTTTGTACAGTTTTTGCTCCAGAGACAGTTTATATATATACACCAAGAAACAAACTAATTATCCCAGTGCGACCCTACCTAGGAGTTGGAGCCCCTAGGAAAGCAGCATTAGTAGTAACAGTAAAGCTAAGCTAAAGCTAAGATAAAGCTAAGCTAGAGCTAAGCTAAACCTAAGCTAAAGCTAAGCTAAAGCTAAGCTAAAGCTAAGCTAGCTAAGCTAAAGCTAAGCTGAAGCTAAGCTGACGCTAAGCTAAAGCTAAACAAAAGCTAAGCTGAAGCTAAGATGAAGCTAAGCTAAAGCTAAGCTAACGCTAAGCTAAAGCTAAGCTAGAGCTAAGCTAAAGTTAAGCTAGAGCTAAGCTGAAGCTAAGCTAACGCTAATCTAGAGCTAAGCTAAAGCTAAGCTAAAGCTAAGCTAAAGCTAAGCTAGAGCTAAGCTAAAGCTAAGCTAGAGCTAAGCTGAAGTTAAGCTAGAGCTAAGCTAAAGCTAAGCTAGAGCTAAGCTGAAACTAAGCTAAAGCTAAGTTAAAGCTAAGCTGAAGCTAAGCTAAAGCTAAGCTAAAGCGAAGCTGAAGCTAAACTGAAGCTAAGCTAAGCTGGGTGAACCCAGGGGGCGCAACTGGGGGAACCGCGGGGCGGGGACTGGGGGAACCGCCCGGGGCGCTTTCCACTGCCCGGCCCCTTTAAGCTAGAGAGTAAGAACCCTTCTAGGCAGAGCCTAGGTAGGGAACAAACAAACAAACAAACAAACAAAAACTAAACAAAAATTGAGTAACGGCCCTGCCGTTCCCGGGGCCCGCTGCGCCAGGTCCCAGAGTGGAAGGCCGGGTCCAGGCTGGCGGTGCTAGCGCGGCGCGTGGCAGCCCGCCAGCCTCTGTGCCTCCCCCCGCTCGCCAACGACGGCGCCATCTTCATGCTGGTCGCCAAGACCGACGTGGAGGCCTTCGACGTCACCCTCGAGACGAGCGAGGGCACGGAGTTCGACAGGGCGAAGATCGAGGAGACGATGCTGGTGTGGAGCGACTGCCAGAACCGCCTGGCGTGGATCCCCACATCCATGAAGGGGGGCACCTTCTTCAGGGGGCCCCAGATCATCTCCAGCGGCACAAAGCTGTGTCTCCACGGCAGCACGCCCTTCCGGGCCTACGTGGTCGTGGAGATCAAGCACAAGAACCGCCCTGCGCGCAGCGGAGGCTTCCCGGACTCGCTCCCGAAGGCGGGCTGGCACGAGGAGTCCGCGGCGCCAAGCTGGGGCGACACCGCCGCGACCCTGCGCGTCTTCAGCCACAAGGTCGGCGAGGGCTCGCAGCTGGTGCTGCCCGCCACCTCCGGCGACGCGAGCCTCGTCGTGGTCGCCGTCAGCCTCACGTCGAGCCCCGACCGCGTGGCCGAAGAGCTGAAGCGGGTGTTCCGTGCGTGGGACGTGGGCGGGAAGGGCGGCATGCGCAAGGAGGACCTGCGGGCCCTGCTCGATGCCCTCTGCCCCGGCATAGAACGCGCCAGTCGAGAGGCGTTGCTGGCGCAGTGCGACCGGCCAGGGTCCAGCGCGCTGAGCTACGAAGAATTCGTCGACCGAGTCGTGCTGGCAAGCGCGAGGGCGTGACTGGGCGGGCGAACTGCGCCTGCGCGGGAGTATCAGGGCACGGAACTGTTGTGTGCGCGCTCCCAGAAAGGATGAAAAGAGCAGCGTGCAGTACGGCAGATTCGCGTCGTGTCGACTTGCGGCGGCCCCGTCGCCGGAGTTCAACATTAAACGCCGCCGGCGGCTCTGAATCGGTCGATGCTGAACGATGTGACGTTTCGGTAACGGCGGATCGTTCAAGGTTGAATGATCCCCACGGTGTCAAGAACCAACGCCGAAGTCGGCACGAGGCGAACTTGCCGTGCTCAGGCCCTGGCTGCCGTGGCGAGCCGCGATGTCCCTGGCCAGGGTGCGGACAGATGGGGCACGCGGGCGCGGCCTCGCGGTCCGTCGCGCCTTGCCGAGAGTTGTCCAGGGACGACGTGTGGTCTGTCTCTGTCTGGCCTTGCTGCCCGAAGCTTCCTGCGCGGTCGCCACGATGACGATAATAACGATGATAATGATGACGCTGACGATGACAAGCATCGTCATCGTCTTCGATCCAGTCGATCTTTCTCCCAGGTTGAACCCTGAGCTTCAGAGCCCTCATTCAGCGTATGTCTGTGGTTGGAATGGCTTACTGGGCGCGGACAGATCTGGCACGCCTGTTGGTTCGTCACGGTTTGCAGAGGCTTTCCGGGTCACCGTGTGTTTGCCATCAGCTACCGTACCAGAAATTCTGTGTGTGTGGTCGTTGCTTGATCCAGTCAGTCTTGGTCCCAGGCTGAGCCCAGTGGTCCGGCAACTTAGCTCAACATTTGGCGGCGGTGGGACTGTCTGACCTACCCCCGTTCACCTTTCCCCTCACCCCATTTCCCTCCCCTCCCCCCCCTCCCCCCTCTCCCAGCCGGAGCAGTCCTATATCCAGCGAGCGAGCTGCGAATGAATCGCATTCGGTCCGTAGCCATTCTGGCTCTGGGCTGTTTTTGGCTCGCGGGCCCGGGCAGGAAGACTTGCTCTCGGCAGAGACCAGAGCCCGTTTGGGCGTCGGCCATGGCGACGGCCTCGCGTCAAGCTGATGTGGAGGGCTACGAATGTCTCGGTGAGCCGCCGGGCACTTGGGCCGGCGTCGAGGAGCGGCTGGGCTTCCTGGGAGGAGCCGCCTCTCTCGCGGTGAGCATGCTGGGCACCGGCATCGTGGCCTCGCCCTACTGCTTCGCCCTTTGCGGCTGCCTCGGCGGCCCGGCGGCGCTGCTCGTGCTGGGGGGCCTCGTGCAGCTCTCGTACGCGTCGCTCATCCGCTGCACCAGCCAGCTGCGCGTCCCGTCCTACGGGGGCCTCATCGAGCGCTCTGAGGGCGCGCACGCGGTGCCCCGGGCCTGGAGCCGGTACACGAACGTGGCCCTGTGGCTTCTGCTGATCCTCGCCACGACGGCCTGCGTGCTCATCTCCGCGCACATCATCCGCAGCGTGGCCTCGCAGGCGCTGCACGCGTCCAGCCCAGGGCTCTTGCTGAGCAACCGAGGCCTCTTTGCCACAACGCGGAGAGCTTCGCCCTCTGCCGCCGCCACCCCCGACGGGTTCATGGCCCGAGGGCCGTCGGGCTGAATGTTTGGTACGCTTTCTTGGGGCCATCTTGGGGATTTGCTCGGCGATGTTACGCCTCACGCCATCCTGAGGCATCCTGGGTGTACCTCTGGGCCGCGTTCCGGCCCTGTCGGGGCCGTCGTCGAAACCAGATTGGGGGCTCTCGAGGGCATGATTGGGCCTTTGGGGGCCACGGTGTAGCTGCTTGGGCCTTGGGGGGGGGGCACTTCGGGGCGTAAGTGGGCCTTTGGAGGCCGTTGGGTTTGTCTTGGGGCCCCTCGGAGCCAGCTTGGGGCCGTCTTGGCCACCTTGAGGCCGTTTAGGTCCTCTTGGAGCTATCCGAAGGTATGTCTGCATGTTCACGTGTCTTTGGAGCGCGCGGGCGCCAGGCATCTGTGTTGTAAAGAGCCGCCGCTGCAGGTTCCTATTTGCCCTCTCTGGAGGGAGGTATGGGGGAGCTGGGTCGCTTGCAGATATGTACAAACATCGAAAATCATGCTTAAAGAGAACCTTAGCTGCCTCGATACGTCCGTTTTGAGACGCAACACGTACCTTGCTTACAACGTCCGTGCCAATGCGTTGCGTGTTGGCTCAGCGTATCGGCCTACGTTTTGGCGAACGTATCGCGTCAGACTTACGTGTTCAGTCTACGTGTTGAGTTCCGTATCAGTACGCTACGGGTTGCGTGTTGCGTGTCGGGGCAGTTAACAAGAGAACAGTGGCAACCGTCCATCCTTGACTCCTACCCCCCCCCGTCCCTGACCACAATGGAGGTAACGGAGGTTATCCCAAAGAGAGCGGAGCGTTATATCTTGCATTTGGTCCTCGTAGGGTCGCGTGTTCAGCAAGAATGACAGTTTTCCTGGCTTGTGCTAACTACGTCAGACCCCTTGCTCGCTGAACAGAGAACAGCAAACGTCCACGGTGACTGGCTTGTATGACCTTTCTGTGCATGGAGCTGTACAGCGGCCAATTTGCAGGCCATCCTCATGTGCTCATGCTTTTTGGCCAAGGCAACTTGATCACTGCAGCCCGGTGCTCCCTGAGGGGGGTGGCGGATTTTGATTGCTATCTACCCGCTTTGTTTAGCAACGTCTCTGCATGGACTCTCATGGATATCCACCTACTGCTCCGGCGCGATCCTCGCTGTGGTAGCCCTTATCACGTGGGAAGCGTATGGCATCTCCAGCGCCTCGCCGTTGCCTGCATCTGAAGCAGTGCAGGCGGGCACGACGTGGTCCTCGGTCCTTCTCGCGCTTCCTATATTTGGCTGCGCGATGTTTGGCCATATGAACATAGCCCAGATCCAGCTGCCTGCGGCAACCCCCTCCACCCTGCAGGCCCAGCATCGAGATCGATCCTGGATGCGATTGCCATGGGCCCACCATGGTTCTGTCATAGCTCCACTGCGGTTTCATTGTGCACTGACTTTCCCGTGGCCAGGGGGAGCTCAGCGCAGCCCCTAGAGGCTCAAGGTCGCCTTGCGCGCGGTTGTTCTGCCGAGCTCTCTCGAAGAGGTTCTGTAGAGCCATCCCGTCTTGGAAGAGTCGCGGGGCTGTCTCGGGGCCGTCTCGTCCCGGTCTCTGGGCCGTCTGCAGGGCGCCCCATGGGGATCTTGGGCGAGGTTGTCTCGAAACTGTCTCGGAGCTGCCTGGTGCCCATCAGGGACCGCTTTGGGGGACGTCTTTGGGGAGAGTTTGGGGCATACTGCGGCCCTTTTGCAGCGAGAAAGGGTGGTTGCGCAACCTACCGTTCTTCAACACGTTGTCTTCGGGCTGCCTCCCGGGGAGCCTCCTGGAGGGCCGCCTGGGGGCAATTGGGGGGCCTCTGGGAACTTCCTTGGGGTCGGAGGAACTCGCCCAGACTCTCCGCGTCTGAGGGATTTCGGGGCCTTCGTGGAACACGAATGGCGCCGTCTTGTGGATTTGTGCTGTGTCCTGGGGTCTGCTTGGCCAGATCGCCGGGATGGAAGAGGTGTGGAACGCAAACCTCGACGGGGTGCTGCGTCACAGGCCCAGAGATCCGATGGGCATGTTCTTGGTTTGCAGAAGTCAGAGCGTGAATTACCTACCCCGCTTTCGCTTCCAGGCAAAACCAAGCATACCACGCGCCTCCTCGTCAAGCGGCCTGACCAGTACAGGCTGCAGTCTGGCACCGTTTGGTATCTCTTGGAAGCCAGGGTGGTCAAAAGCGAGGTAGGTTCGTTTCCCCCCAAAGAAGTCCCGACCCCTTTCCCCCGGGCCAGTGATGCACCCCGAGTATAGTTCTCTGACGGTTCTGGGGCCCGACGAGGGGCCCCAGAACAAGGGCGCGCCTTCGAGGGCGCGAAGTGATTCGCGCGTCGCGCGTCGCGGTTCGGCTCCGATCCCTCCTCCTCCTCTCCTCCCCTGGGAGGCGGCGCGAGAGCGCGAAGTGATTCGCACTTCGCGCGTCGCGCCGCGCGAGGCGCGAAGTTTGGAGCCCCTGCAGAAGCCGAAGAAACGATGAAACATATGTCCGTGTGCGATGGTGCCACGCGTGGGAGGGTCGGGGGAGGGGCGCGCCCAGTCGGATTACGGAGGCAATCTCAGACATAACGGAGGCACTCCAACAGGCCCCAGCGCGACAGGAGGCGTGGTGGCGGATATATGCGGAGTTGAGGCCAAGCGTGAAGCCCCATGCTTCCAAGGTGGCCTTCATTGCCTGTGCATTCGTGATGGTGCTGTACTTGGCCGTGGGAGTTGTTGGCTACATGGCATTCGGCAAGAACACAGAGGCTGATGTTGTCTCGCAGATTGCAGCCGTGCGCGGCCAGAGCAGAGTAGTGACCTCGATTCAGGCGCTTTTGGCGAGCTTCATAGTTTTGAAGACGCCGCTGATAATCCTGCCTCTGAGGACCTTGACCCTCGCGATCCTTTGCCTGGACATCAACTCCGGCGACCTCTCAGCAGGAAAGAACGCGGCACTGACGCTGGCGCTGCTTGTGTGCGTTTACTGCATGGCCTTGGCGTTGCCAGACTTGGGGAAGTTGCTGGAGCTGCTCGGTGCTGTCTGCGTTATGCCTCTCTGCTTTGTGGTGCCCGCACGACTCTCCTGGGCCGTGGAGGAACCGCGGCGCACCGTCAGCTGTCTCGTGATGGGGCTTGCAGGTTTGCTGGTATCTGCTCTCTCCCTCGTGTCCATGGTGGTCTGAGTTCGGATCTAGCCAGGACCTTGGTTAAGGGAAGCCGGTTGGTAGCGTCTGCGGCGCGCATGCACGAACGGGCGTGCTCGGTCAGTTTTTGCCAGTGGCGGTCGCCCTCCGATGTGGCTCACACTCGCTGCATGCTGTTGCCTTGCGGAGCGAGGCAAAGCGCTTCTGCGAGCTCAGCAACAGCAGGTCTGGTCGACTACGGGTTCTGTCTCTGGGATGGTGTCGCTTGGAGCCGGCTGGGGGTCTGGGGTGGCCCAGCATTGGTTCTGGCGAGCAGGAAGGGAGGGCGAGGTTCGAGGTTGTGGGTTCAAAATGTTTGTATCTTGTTCGGCCTCTGGGGACCGTTTTCGGGCCACAGGACCAAAAACGGATCCGGATGAAAAATCGCACCCGGATGGACCTTGGCAAGGGTCCAGGGTCCGATTTTGAGCGGAGTTGCCCTCATCCCCTTTTCTTAAGCGATTTTCTCAAAGTGCGTCCAGTTCAGACCCCCACCTCTTGGACGATGTTTTCGAGATCCATCCAGTTCAGACCCCCTGGCCACCTCCAAGGTGTCGCGCGCCGGCACTGTACCCGTGCTCCCCCGCGGGCGGGGCTGAGCCAAGAGCATGAACCAGATTTGCCGTCGCTCGCGTTCTCTCGCATGGGCCAGAACCGCTGGAAGGAGAAGGAGGAGGAGGAGGAGGAGGAGGAGGAGGAGGAGGGGGAGGGGGAGGAGGAGGAGGAGGAGGAGGAGGAGGAGAAGGGAGAGGAGGAGGAGGATGAGGAGGAGGAGGAGGAGGAGGAGGAGGAGAAGAAGACGAGGCGGAGAAACAGAAGGAGGATAATATTCGTTGCCAGGCCCCCTATCAGGGCATTCGCCCGGCAGAGCCGAGCCGGGGGGGCCGTTGGAACCGCGCCGCCGAGCTTCCCGGAGCGCGTCGGCTCGTCGCCAACGGGGCAGCGGCGCGGGTTTTGCACAGCTCGGCGCCGCATCCTGCCTTCTCCCGCAGCTCGGGCCGAAGGCTCGTGGGAACGTTTCGGAAGGGCAGCAAAAATCGGTTTGGCATGCGGCATGCCAAGCACCCATCGTCGTCGTCGTCAACGTCGTCGTCGTCGTCATCATCGCCCCTCGGCGACCGTGTCGCCGCAGGCGAATCACCGCCGCCCCCAGCCTGCAGGAAGCGCCTGCGAGGTGGAGTGTCGGGCGTCGGCACGGCAGTGCTAGTGGACCGCGTGTTACCCGAGTTGTCGGGAACCATCGGGGGAACATTGGGGAGGGGCCCCAGGCTTAAGGACGAGGAGGAGGAGGAGCAGGAGGAGCAGGAGGAGGGGGAGGAGGAGGAGGGAGGCGAGGAAGAGTAGGAGGAGGAGGAGCAGGAGCAAGATCAGGCGCAAGATCAGGAGCAAGAGGAGTAGGAGGAGGAGGAGGAGGAGGAGGAGAAGGAGAAGGAGGAGGACGAGGAGGAGGAGAGGGAGGGGGAGGGGGACGGGGACAAGTTAGGTGCGCTCGCGTCTACATCTGACATCCTACCCCTCCCTCCCATCCCTTACCATGGCGCTGATTTTCTCTATTCGCGAACGCGTGTCGTAGCGGACCTGTGGCTCCGCGCGCGTGTGCGTAGTGGGTGGTGGTGCGCGTGCGTGCGTGCGTGTGTGCGTGGTTGTGGTTGTTGTGGTGGTGGTGGTGTGTATGTGTGTGTGTGCGTGTGTGCGCGTGTGCTGTGGTGTGACGTGGTGTGGCGTTTTGGTGGTTTGGTGGTGGGCCAGGTGCGTACGTGCGTGATGGCGGTGGTGGTGGTGGTGGCGGTGGTGTGTGTGTGTGTGTGTGTGTCTGTGTGTGTGTGCGTGTGTGTGTGTGTGTGTGCGTGTGTATGTGTATGTGTGTGTGTGTATGTGTGTGCGTGCGTGCGTGCGTGCGTGCGTGCGTGCGTGTGTGTCTGTGTGTGCGCGCGTGTGATGTGGTGTGACGCGGTGTAGCGTGGTGGTGGGGGGTGGGGTAGTGCGGTGGTGGTGGCGGTGCGCGGTGGTGGTGCGCGTGCGTGCGTGCGTGCGTTGGTGGGTGGAAGTGGCGGTGGGTGTGCGTGCGGCGGGCGGGGCGTGGTGCGGCGCGGTGGTGGCGGGCGGATGGGCGCGCGAGAAAGAGGCCCGCGCTGGGGCGAGAACGCCATCCTGAACGACGGAGGCAAAACACCGATCCGAAAATGAGGCCAACGCTGCAGCGGGAGCACGATTCGGAACGATTCGGGAGCAGAAATGAGGCCGGCGCCTCAGCGAGAGCAGCATTTTGAAAAAAAACGCAGGCGAAAACCCAACTCCTGGGAATCCTGTGTGTAAAAAACAGTACGCGGGGGGGGGGTCTACTACTCCCAGCACGCCATCAGGGGAAGAGGGAGAGTGGTATTCATATTGAGTAAATGTGGAAGAGGAGGGAGGCGAGGAAGAGGAGGAGGAGGTGGAGGAGGAGGACTCTCCTGGGCCCTCGCACCCTCGCCCCGGCGCCGTCGCGCCACCTGTGAGCCAGGCGGAACGGCGCACCAGCTCGGGCGGACGGAGCCTTTGCAGCAGCTCGTCCCCCGACCGTTCGACGCACGGGGCTGGGGGGGCGGTAATTTCCCGCGGCAAGCGGACTTCCAGACACCCGGCAGTGTTGTACCAGCCCGATTGGGCTCTGATTTAAATAAGTCAGCACGGATTGCTCGGCCTCCGTCTGGGCTGGATCCGTCTGGACTCAGCCCCTCCTGATAGGATGCTAAGCCCGTACGGAGTAAGTCCGCACGAAGTGCTCGAGCTCCGTCTGGGTTTACTCCCTCTAGACTCAGCCTCTCTTGAATCGCGGCACGGCTCACGGTTCGGCGGCGGCGTATTGAGGGTTGTCGACGTAGGAGGCGTTTCCGTGGAGCTTTTGGTAA